CATTATTACAACCGAACTTCCGTGCAAGGCTGGAAAATATGAGGAAGTTTGAAGATTGCAGCTGAAATACCTCAAGAAGAATGGTCAAAGACATATAACGATCAAGGTCGACGTTACGATCATATGACAACCAATCTTGTCGAATGTATCAATTCAGTGCTTAAAGGGACTAGACATCTTTTGGTAGCAAGTATTGTTCGAGAGACTTACTTCGTATTAGGTAAAGTATGTGAAGACAAAGGTTCCCAAGTAGAGGCAATGCTCAATAAAGGCAGAAATTGGGCTTCAGAAATGAACAAAAATCAAACACATGCAATATCAATGCATGTTCATAATTTTGCCAGACTCGATTCTAATTACATTGTCAAGCACTTGTTCGACCATATGAGGGTGCAAATTCTGCCACCTAAACTGGTGATCTGAATAAAAGATGGTGTGATTATGGTCGATTTCAAGCCTTCAGATACACATGCGCTCACGCGATTGTTGCATGTATACATGTGAATATAGACTCATATTTATACGTTGATGATTGTTATAGCCTGCATATTATGCGCAACATATATAATTGTGAGTTTATGTATCTCCCCAACGATTCATATTGGCCACCACCTGTTTCTGAAGAATAGTTGCCCAATCCACAATTACAAAGGAATTTGAGGGGTCGTCCTAAATCTAGTCGAATTCATATTGATATGGATGATCCTTAGCGAGAGCATGGTTTGCCAAAACGTTGTGACCACTGTAGAGGTGAAGGCCACAATAGAAAGCATTGTCCACATCTTCCAAAATATTGAGTGGACTGATAAAACCTTCATAATTGTATTTTCATGTTGTCTGTTGTACCTGTTTTGGATAATTTATCAATATCAATAACCATCTTTATTTTTTTACTTTTCATATATAATTGCAAACTACAACGTTTAACTAAACTCAAATTCATAAATATATTCAAAACATTTTTTCAACAAAATAAACAATTTTTCCTCTTATTCTTCATCTCAATTTTTACATTATTATTTTTCTTTTTCTTATTCCTCTCCATAATTTGTTTGTTGTGTCGGTTTCGTAAGTCTTCATTAGGGATGACAAACAGGCGGGGCAAGTGCGGATACCCCTTCCCCTATCCCCATACCCATTAATATTTTCGTACCCACTACCCACTCACCACCCACGATAGGTAAATTTTTTAAATCTACAGCTGCCCATACCCACCTGACAACAACATTAGAAATTACATATGCAACAAAACATAAAACAAATATGTCCATTCAGAAGCAAAACATACAAGAGAATGGGCGAAGAAAAACTTACAAAAGAAGATTGCAGCATAAAGAAAAACAAAAACGACGGTGACAATCACTAGTCTGATAAAGAAAAATTGATTCTAAAGATTGAAAATTGACTTTAAAAAAAATTATACCCCAACATTTGGTTAAATTATAAGTCATATCCTATAAAATTTTAAGATTTATAAATTAGTCTATGAAATTATACCTAAATTCATAATAGTCTAAAATTTATATAATGAGAAATTAGTAGGCGAGAGGATGTGCGGTGGGCGGATGTGTGGCAAATAAGGTCTCAAATCTATCACCTACCCACTACCCACGGCGGGTATGACTTTTTACATCCACACTCGCCCACTACCCACTAAACTTATACCCATCTCCGCCCCAATTAGAATAGGTACGGTGCAGAATCCACGAATTTTACCCATATGCTATCCCTATTCTTCATTATTTTTCTTATTCTTCTTCTCATCCTCCTCCCTTTTCATCTCCTTATGTTGATCAAGAATCAAGTTTATTAACTATTTCACCTACTCCTCATATGAAGACGGGTTTGAATCCGAATCATCATTATCAGAGTAATTAAACCAAAATGATCTTTTCGAAAATTGCTTGAAATATTATTCCCACAAATTCATGATTTGATTCTCATATAACTCTATCAACTAACTCAACTCCTATTTATAGTTAAAATTTCTTAAAATAAACGATGGAACACGTCACACCTACACAACAAGTTCCAACAGCTACCAACAATTACTTTTCAAATATTTCTAAATGACTATATATGAAACCAAATCAACTTGTCACCTCGACATATAAGTTCCAACATTTTTTTTAATTTTCAATTAAAATTAATTTTTTAAATAATATTATTTTAATGAGGTGACGAGTTCTTTAAAAATAATTAAATAATACACAAAGAATATAATAATTATTATCCCATAAAACTTATCACCTCGAGTTGATGAGTTCCCCGTACCGTAGAAAATATCGTAGATCCCAAATTAAAACTATGAGAGTTATATTTTCCAAATTTTTTTGCAAGTTGCCATATTGGGCAAAAAAAACCCTCAAATACACGTGGTTATAAAAATAAATAAAGCGAGGTCTGACCTAACTTTCTACATAATGCAAGATCCATCTACATAGAAGAATTTGGACGCGAAAAATACATGAAATTTATTTTCTGTAGAAATCTATGTGTGATCTCATTTTTTACATAACGCGAGGTATTTAAAGTTTATTTTTTCAAATAATACTGATCGGGTTTTTTGTTTAATAAAATAATAAAAAGCGCTATTGATTTAATTCTCCCGAAAGGAGCAGTGTCCTTGATACGACAAGTTGGTGTTTCATGTATTTGTTGTATGATAAGGATGGTTTCAACGTCAATGGTCCCAATCTTGAGGCTGCTTCTATATTTTCTCCATAAATTTGTCTTTCTAGAACGGCAAAATAAGGTAAATTTACACATGGAAAAAAGATAATAAAATGGGATTTTGAATTTATTTAGGGATTTAAAGTATATCATATATTATATCTTAAAGTCGTGATATAATTATAACGATTATTTTTAAATTTGTTTTTTGGATGAATTTTTAAAAATTTTAAAGTTTAAATAAAATAAATAAAAAATAAAATCAATAATATTTTCTCATTTTAACTTTTTTTATTTATTTTTTAATTCTAATTTTGGGCATGAACTGAGCGATTTCAGTGATAAAAGAATTGTTATTATTCTTTGAGGTCACACGTTTAAACACTAATAATATTAAATAATTAAGAATTATCTTTGAAAAGATATTACCTTATACTTACTTAGATAAATCAAACTAATTATGCTTCTGTTTTTCTATTATTTTGACTCCAAATAAATATTTAATAAATTCATTTCATTAAAATATTATTTAATGGATTTAAAATACACTATGAAATGTATCTCATATCTCTAAATAAATCCTTACTAACTTCGTTTCATTAATTTTTTTATAGCCTTACCTTCTAGAACATTTTAATATTTTAGAAGGAAAAATAGAGAAAACGTTTGGTGCAAGCTCATGACAAGAATATATATAATTGGAATGGATGTGATAGGTACAATTTAATTAACAAAAACGAGTTTAACTTTTATTTTTATTTATTAACCGATCGAACCAAAATTTCAGTCAGTTAATTTTAGATTCGGTCAGTTAACGGTTAATAATTTTTTTTCAAATTTTGATTTCTATTAATTAAGTTCTAAATCGGTTAATTAATCGAATTAATCGAAATTATAAATGTCATATATATATATATATAATACGTTATATATATTTAGAGAAAGTAGTTTGAATTGAAATTAACCAATATATAATATTATAAATAATTATATTAAAATAAAAATTCAAATAAAAATAATTAATTCAATTATACTCAAATTTTATAAATTTAAATTGATTTTAAAAATTTTAAAATAACATTTAAATAATAAAATGATATTTATTCATATGACTAAATTTTTTACACATTAGATTAAGAATCTATTTCGTAAAGCTTTTTAAAAGCAATTTTAGCAAAAAAAAAAAACTCAGTTTTGACAGTAAAATCATGCTAAAAGAGTAAAAAATAAAAAAAAAATTACGATAAAAACAGTGGTTTCAAACTAACTGTAAAATCTAGGATTTTTAGTTTTTTCACTATCAACTTTGCTTTTGTAAGAAAATTATAATTTTACCCTTACTAATGCATGAACTCTACTCAATTATATATTTACATTTTATTTTAATAATTTAATACTAACATCTTTAAAAAATAATTTATTACTTTTAATAATTTATTTTAATTATTTAAAAATAAATACAATTTATAGTTTATATATTAAAATATTAACAGCGAGTTATAAAAATACTATATTTTTATCATAATTATATTTTTTATTTGTAATTTTTTTTATATTTTTGTTATAGTTTAAAATGACATAACTCATATATAATAATATTTATTTTTAAATATATTATAGCTTAAATTCATATGATTCATATATAAGTATAAATATAATTTAAATGTTATATTTTTTATTTACATCATAATGTTTATAATCAGGGCCGGTCCAATGAGTTTTAATGCCCCGGGTGAGATAATAATTTTATGCCCCTATACTTGTACCGTATAATAGAAAAATGTAATTTCTGTAGGTTATTCCCAGAACATGCTTTATGCTTGAAAATTCATACATTTTCTATGAATTTTGAAATCCAGCCAAATTATTTAGTAGTATATATTATGGGAAAATGTCCATTGAAACTCGACCAGCAGGATCATTGCCTCTGACTTTGCAGCCACTGCATGTCCTGTTTGTGCTTGTCTTACAAACATATCCATTTCCACTACTCTCCCCAGGTTAAGATTGTTCGATCAAGGCAGCTTACATCATATTAGCAATGGCATGATACAAATACCAACAGGACTGGCAGATTGCCAACTAAATATCACTTTGTTCCACAATAACAGACTGCCAACTAACACTTCGTTTGGGCCCCAAACAATGACGGGAAGTTATGTTGCATGAACAAGGGAAAACATTGAAAGCAAACTGCAATAAAAAGGATCTGAACAAGCATAGATTACAAAGGGAGTGCAGGAAGCCGAGACGTCAACATATCATAAACCATGAATGCAGAAAGTGACACAAAGAAGACATCTTACTAGAATTGAAACAAAGACGCATTGTAAAAGAGATAGTAAAGAAACCATTGCATTTAGCTGGGATCATACAATATCTCATGTAGGAAACCGACAAGTTTCGAAATCTATAGTCAGATTATTACTTCAATAAACAAACTGAAAATATCATGAGCAAGAAATAGTAGCCTAGAGAATATAAACCAATGCCACTTATAGTTCTTCAGATACTTATGTTTACCTCCAAGTAATCATCCAGCTTTTGAACCAGATTCTGTGCGAGCTTTTGATTCTGATTTAGAATCTCCTCTCGTATTAGCTGTTTCTGCGCTTCTTGCATCACCCGAACAAAATCCACCACCATTATGGTGGTGGTGGTGGTGATTTTGATGGATGTGATGATGACTACTCTTACCTTTTAACTGCTTCCGTATGTCGTATGCATCCTCCCCATTAGCATAATATTTCGCCTCCACATCATGTATCTTATAACCCAACGTCTGAGTATACAGATTAAATGTTACCCTGTTACTCTTTCTCACATGGAGCAAGACATACTCTGCTCCAAACACCTGCATCACTTCGCATATTAGTATTGAAGAATACAAATGCCTTTTCTTCCTTGCCGATTGATTTTGCAGTTAATCTGTTCAAGAATTGCTAAATATAGAATCAATAAAAGTAAAAGTAACTCTAACATAAGCATTCTATATAAAAGTAAAACTATTCAATATTTCGTCAAGCAAAGATTGGAATTTCAAGTTCTACTTCTCTTAAAATATTCTTTTCCCTTCGAATCCAAAATGTAATCAAGCAAAAACTAATAACTAACTAATTTAAAAGTACTACAGTCCATATATGAGCAGATAAATGACTAAAAAGGAAAATGAAAAGAAAAAAATAAATGGAAGGACATGTTCCATGGCGGCTTGGGCAGCGATCATGAGCTTAGTGGCGAGGCCAAGCTTGCGGTGGGTACGAAGGATGGCGAGAGAGGTGTTGTGGCTGTGGCACTCGTTACCCCTACATGCTGGGAATAACCTACAGAAAGGAGGTGTGGATTACAAAGGCCGCCCATTCGCTACAGTTGTCATAAATGGGTATCAATTCTACTGATGCCCCTACATGTTGCCCTGGGCCGTCGCCCCTACATGTTACCCGACCCTATTTATAATAGATATCTTATTTTTTAAATTCACTTTTTATATAATTTTTTTAAATTCGTTTTACAACACTTCTAAAATCAATTTTTAAAAATTAAACCAAACTTACCATAAATACCCACTTTAGTCAAAAGCCTAGGTTCCACCGAGTCTCGAGCTCTCAACACAATGTGATACAAGCAAGTAGCCATGAATGAAGACGACGAGTTGGCTTTGGTAGCTTTATTAGCATATTGTTTCCATGGCGACTCCTCTTGCAGCATTACGTTTTCCCTCCGCCACCTTACCAGCGCGACGGAAATATCTGTAAACTCTGCCAAAAAAGAAAAAAAAAATATATGGGTAATTCTTAGAAATCCCCGAAGAAATCAAATCAAATAATCGATGAAACAGCAGAAGAGTGAAATGATTTCAAGGTGTTCGACTATATACCTGAATGACCCACATGCTTAACAGTGTTTCATACAGAATAACCCTAGAATATCTGTAAATAGAAAAAAGCAATCAGCCTTACCAGCAAAATGTTTTGATAATTTATAGTTTCAAATCCAATGATTCAAGAGAAAGAAATGATCTTTAACTTTACCCCAACTGAAGTACGCTTGCTGATAACATTTATTGCACTTCAGAATCCCCTGCACCGCCCGTAACATCTTATTAAGTCTTAATCAAGAAACGAAAATGCGTCAATTAAGAGTAAATTAAAATTAAAGTTGAAATATTCGTATCCATATTGGCCCGAAAAATATTTTTTTAAAGTAGACACATACGTAATAATGAAAAATTTCAGGATAGATAATTTTAGTAAAATGTGTTGAAAGCATGCACCGAAAGTGCATTTAGCAAGGTTGAAAAAAAAATGAAATTTTCAATAATGGTAGGCACCAAATATAAAATGTCAAAATTAGGTGCAATAATGGTTGAAAACTAAATGGGCAAATTACAAATTTTAGTCATTAAACTTTTAGGGTATTTTCAAGATTAGTCCTTAAAGCTTCTACTATAAATACCCTAGCTCATTTAGCTTCAAAATCATCCCAAAGCATTCTAGCTTTCTTCCAATACTAGAGAGAATTTAGAGAGTTTCTTGAGAGTTATTTTCTCCTTTTTATCAAGAGAGAATTATCATTGTTTTCTCATTGGTAAATCGAGAGAAGTTGTAATTCCTATTTTATCATAGTGAAATTCTTCTATCGTTGCCTGTGGTTTTTACCCTAAATTTTTAGAGGTTTTCCACGTAAATTTTGTGTCTCTTTTATCTTCATTTTTATTTTCTTAAATTATCAGTTGCGATTTTGCTCTATCCGATAGCCGTCTTCCGCAACAATTGGTATCCGAGCTAGATTAAAGTGTGTAATATCTGCTTATTGTCTTTGTGGTTGCCACCAAAAGGTGGATCCTCTAACATAAGAAAGTAAGAAGTTATTACCCATTCTTTGAATGTTCCAGATAACTATTCACGATAGTGAAATAGTGAGAGCTATCCGTAAAAGAAGCTATGGCAACAAAATTTGATATTGAAAAGTTCAATGGGAGAAATTTCTCATTGTGGAAATTAAAGATGAAGGTCATCCTGATGAAAGACGGGTGTCTAGCGGCTATCAGTGAAAGGCCGGTGGATTTTGCAGATGACAATAAATGGATCGAAATGGACGGAAATGTTATGGCAAACTTTCATCTAGCATTAGCAGATGAAGTATTGTCAAGCATCGAGGAGAAAAAGACAGCTAAGGAGATATGAGATCATCTCACCAAATTGTACGAGGCTACATCGTTGCACAATAAAATTTTCCTTAAGAGGAAATTGTATACTTTTCGTATGCCAGAATCTACTTCAGTGACGGAGCACTTAAACACGCTGAACACTTTATTTTCTCAGCTTACATCCCTAAGATGTACAATAGGAGAACAAGAACGTGCTGAACTTCTACTTCAAAGTCTACCTGATTCGTATGATCAACTTATCATCAACTTGACAAACAGTAATGTCACCAGTCTAGTCTTCGATGATGTTGCAGCTGTTGTTCTACAAGAAGAAAATCGGCGCAAGAACAAGGAAGACAGACAAGTAAATCTGCAACAAGCAGAAGCGTTGACAACGATGAGAGGGAGATCAACGGAACGTGGCCAAAGCAGCAATCACAAACATGGTAGATCGAAGTCGAGGAGCAAAAAGAATTTAAAGTGCTACAACTTTGGAAAGAATGGTCACTTGAAAATAAAAACTCTAATCCACAAGGCAATACCGCAAACACTTCAGATGATGGAGATGCTCTATGCTGTGAAGCGTCAACCACCGTGGAAGGCAGAAAAAGATTTGCAGATATATGGCTCATTGATTCGGGAGCGACATATCACATGACCTCAAGAAGAGAATGGTTCAATCATTATGAACCTGTCTCAGGAGGATATGTGTATAGTTGCAATGATCATGCCTTAGAGATCGTTGGTGTGGGAACCATCAAATTAAAGATGTATGATGGAACAATTAAAGTTGTTCGAGATGTGAGTCACGTGAAAGGCCTGAAGAAAAATTTATTATCCTACGGATTATTGGATAATAATGCAAGCAAGATTGAAACACGAAAAGGAATCATGAAGGTGTTCCGTGGAGCGCTTGTGGTGCTGAAAGGCGAAAAAATAGCTGCAAACTTGTACATGCTGATGGGAGAGACTTTGGTAGAAGCAGAAGCCTCTGTTGCCTCATGTAGTTCAGATTTGGCAATGCTATGCCATCAAAAACTTGGACACATGTCAGAACAAGGAATGAAAGTTCTTGTGGAGCAAAAGCTACTTCCAGGCTTAACAAAGTTATCACTTACTTTGTGTGAGCATTGCATAACAAGTAAGCAGCACCGGTTGAAATTCAACACGTTAAATTCTAGAGGCAAAAATGTTCTAGAATTAGTTCATTCTGACGTATGGCAAGCACCAGTTACATCCCTAGGTGGAGCAAAATACTTTGTCTCATTTATTGATGACTACTCTAGGAGATGTTGGGTGTATCCTATTAAGAAGAAGTCAGATGTGTTTTCAACTTTCAAAATCTTCAAAGCGCGGGTGAAACTTGATTCTGGAAATAAGATCAAGTGTTTCAGAACAGATAATGGAGGAGAATACACAAGCGAAGAATTTGACGACTTTTGCAGGAAAGAAGGCATCAAAAGATAGTTCACAGTGGCAAACACTCCTCAACAAAATGGTGTGGCAGAGCGGATGAACAGAACCTTGTTAGAAAGAACAAGAGCAATGTTGAGGGACGCATGCTTAGAAAAATCATTATGGGCGGAAGCAGTCAATACCGTCTGTTATTTGGTGAATCGAGCTCCATCAACTGCAATAGAACTGAAGACACCAATGGAGATGTAGACTGGTAAACCAGCTGATTATTCAAACCTCTATATATTTGGAAGTATTGGGTACGTGATGTACAATTCCCAAGAAATCTCAAAGCTGGATCCAAAATCTAGGAAATGCAAATTCTTAGGGTATGCTGATGGAGTCAAGGGGTATCGCTTGTGGGATCTCACTGCCCGCAAAGTGATCATCAGCAGGGATGTTATCTTTGTAGAGGATAAACTACAAAGAAAAGAAGACGATGATAGCACTGAAAAGTCAGAGACTACACAGATAAATGTGGAAAAGGAGTTTGAAAAAGGAGATTCTTATGAAGTAGATCCAGCACATGATGAACAAGAACCAGAGAGTTCTGAAGCACCAACAACTCGTCAATCAGATCGTGTGAGAAGACGTCCCAATTGGCACTCAGATTATGTTATAGAAGGTAATATTGCATACTGTCTTTTAACAGAGGACGGTGAGCCATCAACATACCAGGAGGCAATAAACAACTCAGATGCTTCACTGTGGATGATGGCGATGCAAGAAGAAATTAAAGCCCTTCATAAAAATAATACATGGGACCTTGTGCCACTACCACAAGGAAGGAAGCTAATTGGTAACAAATGGGTCTTCAAAATCAAGCGAAATGGTGACGATCAAGTTGAGAGGTATCGTGCAAGACTGGTGGTCAAAGGATATGCTCAAAAAGAAGGTATTGATTTCAATGAAATATTTTCTCATGTGGTTCGACTAACAACAGTTCGAGTAGTTTTGGCAATGTGTGCTACATTGGACTTACATCTAGAGCAGTTAGATGTTAAAACAGCTTTTCTTCATGGAAATCTTGAAGAAGAAATTTATATGCTCCAGCCTGAAGGTTTTGAAGAAAAAGAAAAGAAGAACTTGGTTTGCAGGTTGAACAAATCTCTATACGGTCTAAAACTGGCTAGGGAATTTGAAATGAAGGACTTGGGATCAGCAAACAAGATTCTAGGGATGCAAATTCACCGAGACAGAAGTAATAGGAAGATTTGGTTTTCACAAAAGAATTACTTGAAGAAGATCTTGTCACGATTCAACATGCAAGATTGTAAGCCAATTTCTACCCCTCTTCCTATTAACTTCAAATTATCCTCCAGTATGAGTCCTAGCAGTGAAAAAGAGATGATGAAGATGTCTCGAGTACCGTATGCATCAGCAGTGGGAAGTTTAATGTTCGCTATGATATGCACAAGACCAGACATTGCACAAGTAGTGGGAGTGGTTAGTCGGTACATGGCGAATCCAGGCAAAGAGCATTGAAATATTATAAAGAGGATTCTCAGATGCATCAAAGGGACCTCAAATGTTGCATTATATTACGGATGATCAAACTTACTAATCAACGGTTATGTAGATTCTGACTATGCAGGGGATTTGGATAAAAGCAAATCTACGACAGGATATGTGTTCAAAATTGCTGGTGGAGCTGTAACCTGGGTTTCAAAATTGCAGTCAGTTGTGGCTACGTCCACAACAGAGGCAGAATATGTAGCAGCTACACAAGCCAGTAAAGAAGCAATTTGGTTGAAGATGCTATTGGAGGAGCTTGGGCATAATCAAGAGTATGTCTCTCTGTTTTGTGGCAGTCAAAGCGCCTTGCATCTAGAAAGGAATCCATCATTTCATTCAAGGACAAAGCACATACGAGTTCAGTACCATTTCATTCGTGAAAAGGTGGAAGAATGAACGGTAGATATGCAGAAGATCCATATCAAAGACAACATAGCAGATTTCATGACGAAGGCAATCAATGCTGATAAATTTACCTGGTGTCGATCCTCTTGTGGACTATCAGAGACGTAAGCAACATGATGGTACAAGGTAGAAAGAATGGTGTGAAGATATGATTGTGCCAATCAAATCTTCAAGTGGGAGATTG